TTTTTTTTTATTTGGAAGTGTCAGTATATGAAAATGCAGCACGTGTTAGCTTTAGGCTCATGTTTGTATTTGTGTTCCCCTGAAGAAAGCTCAGGAGTGTTACAAGGTGATGCCTAAAGAGCCTCTCATTTGAGGTTTAATTATGTCACAAAAACCACACTAGTGCAGTGTTGGGGGTGGGAAACAAGAAATTCACATTTTACTGATACTTGACGTTAACTTTTACCCTTTGAGACCCCACCCAGATCTCCTAGCAATGAGGGAATCTGCGGCCCTCTCACTTTCCTTGGATTTAAATTATCACTGGCTTCTAAAAAGCAGATAACTACAGAGCCAGTAAGCTACTTTCACCAATATTAGAATAACCTATTTGCATTACATTTTTGTTTGAAGTGTTTTTTTCCCATTACAGAAATGAGTGCTTATAAAATTTCAAACAAATAAGTTGAAAATTACCCATAATCCTATTCCATGAATATAGCCATTTTTAGCAGTTTGGCATCTAGTCATTTTTGAAGAGATCAGTCAGAAAACTAACCCTGTCAGTACCAATGTTCTTTTTTAAAGAGTCATTTTAAAATTGGCATAAGGCAGAACGTTTGGGTCTATCCGTTTTAACAAAAAGATTGTTGCTAAATCTGCCCAAAGTAGAGGTTTGGTGCACCGATAGAGTTTTCTGCCTTCTTGACCTCCTTGGAAAGAGCTATGATGATTGCGTTTCAGATTATAGTTAGCACAGAAGTTTTTTGTGTTTGAGTCTTTAAGTTATTTGCGGGAAAATGAATCCACTTGGAGAAAAGGGGGAAATAATAAGGTCCATAGTTGTTTGTTTCTGTAGTCGGGTTTTTCGGAGTCCCATATTGTTTTAAAAGAAAATATTTGGGGGGAGGAGGTGGTTGTTGTGAACTCTTTATGACTACTGCTAAAAATGATAGACTTGATGTTACTGCTGATAAATGAGACTGATGATGTAAATGGTCAGTTGATTAGGCATCCCACTTTTCTAAAATTGGTTATATTCTTTTCTAGGAGAAAATTAATGCCGGTGCTCTCTAGTACGAGATTAGTGGAAACAGCTATTTCTTATATTGGAGTTTTGCAAACAGCGTGTTTTAATTGTGCTTACTGAGCCATTTAGCAGTCAAAATATTTTGCAGATTGTGTAAGATTCCCTTTCAGCCAGCTTTTATCTCACACTTAAGGTAGGGTTTCTTTTTTTCAGGTTCTCAGGAATTCTTCTGCCAAAGGTGAATTCTGCAGGTACACATAATTGCAACAGAACTTACCACAGTTTTTGCCGCAGAATTCGAGAGGCCCCTGCTTCTAAGTTTATGTAGCTAAATGAATTCCTAACTGCTGCACATCTTTTTTTAAAAACGCAGCCTAAAGGTTGTTTGACTTTGTGCTCTTAAACGGAAAATACTTCGCCACCCAAATTTTGTATGCAAACTCCAAACAATGATATCACTCCTAAGGAAGAAAGAGACTGGCTAGTTACTGTATTATAGCTTTCAACATGACATATTTTATAACTGGACAGACAACTCAAACAGAAGCATTCATCAGAATAAGTTACTAGTATTTAGTCTCAGAACTAGCTGTTTCCTGTCCTAGGTCATGGTTTTGTTTCCCATTTTTTTTTTTAAACTTAATTATGTGCTTAGCTACATAAACTCAAAAGTTGGATAAAAATAGCTGTTTTTGTGTAAACTGTACATACCTGTAAGGTCGTTTTTGACAAGTATGCGGTTAACGAACGTGAATCCTTTATTCCACAGAAGAAGGCGTTCATCAGCATCCTTGTCTGGAAGTAGTTCGTCATCTTCTTCGTCTCGTTCCCGGTCACCGCCAAAGAAGCCTCCTAAGAGGACATCCAGCCCCCCTCGGAAAACTCGTAGGTTATCTCCTTCAGCAAGTCCTCCGAGGCGAAGGCATAGGCCATCACCTCCAGCAACTCCACCGCCAAAAACTCGTCATTCCCCAACACCCCAGCAGTCAAACCGTACAAGAAAAAGTCGTGTTTCTGTCTCTCCAGGGAGAACTTCAGGTAAAGGTAAAAATCAAACACACAAAAACAGTATATGTTCGTTCTTTCTCTGTTTGGCTACAAAGTGCCTAGTCAGTTGTCGCTCCTGCCCCTTCCCCCTTCACGGTAAGAAGGAGCTGGGTAATATTTGTGGGTGATATTCTTTGTAAATTTGCTTTTCACCTTTTCTTTCCTCTTTGAGTTCTTGGGGTTTGTTGAAGCAGAGTTTATGTGTAAACTTGTTTTTAGCAGTTGCCCTCTGGCATTGAGTAAGTGGAGAAATACATTACCAGCCCCAATATTTGCATGTGATTTCTTTGTAAATTTGCTTTTCACCCTTTCCTCTTTAAGTTCTTGGGGTTTGTTGAAACAGAGTTTATGTGTAAACTTGTTTTTAGCAGTTGCCTTTGGCATTGAGTAGGTGGAGAAATACATTCATTAGCAGCCGTGGGCTGAGTTGGGGGAGCTTATCAAAGTCCCTGTTGTCATGATAAGGGATCATTTTATTACTATGAGACCAGTTAATTTTTTTCCCCTGAAGATTTTTTTGTTTGATATCTTATTTGAGGACTCCATATTCTGTTTGAGTTCTTTCTTGGCCACATTGTGCTCGCTAGGGAAGAACATGGTGTCCCCTTAAAAGCCTGTTTGTTTTTTAATTTAGGCTCCAGGCAGGGTTCTTCTGAGTGTTGTCCTTGCTTTATTCTGCAGATTGATTTCTGAGGAATTTATGATCTGTGATCTGGCCAGGCAAGTAGAATGCCGTATTAGTCTGAGTGAAGGTTGTGGTGTATTGGAGTTTGTTCCTTTGGGTTAAATACACATGGAGAAAGGCGGTAGGATCTATTTGAATTGGGCCTCTGGTGCTGAGGGCTGAGATGATAGCCTGAAGGGTGAGTAGTGGGGCAGGGGAAATCCTAAAAGCTGCTGTAGTAATTGATCTTTAAGAAGCAGCCTGTAGGTTAATATATACTGGGCTTGCTCTGATCACATCTAAATTTTCAGGTTAGAACAAAGAAAATGGGGATGGGCAAAATTTTGACTTTGAGGTATAGACAAGCTAGCAGAGTGACAGGGGAACTGGCAGGTAATGCTGTCACCTATAACAAGTAATGTGTAGATTATTTTCTGAATCTTAATTGGGTAATTAATTATTCTATGGTCATTTTTGTTGCTTTGGCTCTTTAGACCTAGATGGACACCTGGATAAGAACAGAAAAACATTTGAGTCTTCCAGGTTTAGACCTAATTTAAGTATGGGAGGGGGCCTTAGGATCACTTATTTTCATAACCTCGTGTCCCGTATTACCTTCAGTTCGTACCTTTTTGACAAGGATGACAAATAGGAAAATTTCAGTGGTTTCTAGCAACTGTGTCCAGTATGTTAAGTATTTGTACTTCTGCATATTTTTTTGTCCTTCCTTTGGAGCCAGAAAGCTCTCTAGTGAAAAATTATTATAAAAGTTCCCACCTGTTCCTTTGCAAAAAACATAGCAAGGTATGATATAGCCAAAGAGTAATAAAAGTATCTGAACGGGAGGATTGAGTCTTTGTTAAAGTAGATAAGAGTTCACTTTTTGCAGAGGGCATAGGCACTAACCTCTTGTGTCCTGATACATTGTCAAGGGAGTGGGCCAGTACTTAAAAAAAAAAAAAAAATTCATGGTAGATACGCACGTTGGAGAGAAATAAAATAAGTCCTGGTGAAGACGAAGAGCTAGTTATGTTCCTATGGATTCTGGAGCAGGTCTTCCATGTGCAAACAAAACACAACCAAAGAAAGGCACTGTGGGCAGTAGAGTCAGAGACTGCCTCGTGTCCTTAAGCTGAATTTGGCTCTGACTACTTGGAGGTAACTTTTTATGGTAAAACGATCCCAGTCCCCGGTGATGAAATTTCAGAGGTAGAACAGATTTTTGAGATTGTCATCAAGAAACAGGTTCTCAGGTTAAGTGACTTGGTCAAAGTCAACCAGCCAGGTGTAAAATTTGGGTTCTCATTTCCCAGTTGAAAAATGTATACTTTGCCCAGCTTTCCTACCTCAAAAAGCTTGTTTTGATGTCTGGAGTGGGGAGATGGAGGGCAAGGTGCAACTTTAACTTTAGATTCTGTACCTGGTAGGATGATTTCAGAAATTCCTTTCTTGCAACACTCCACTGCTTATAAGATCAGTGACACCATTGAAATATAATAGATTTTACTGTAGTAGTTACCAATCGGGACTTTTAATATTGAGCAAATGGAGTGGGAGAGAGGCAGGCAAAGTATTTTGGGGAATTTAAAGGTGAATAATTTGTGGAGTACATTGTACATTCTCATCCGAAAGGGTCTTCAGGAAGCATTTTGTAATCAGTGGCATGTTAGTTAAACTGGCATTATCTTAGTACATAAAGCAGTGTGTTGAAATCAGTGAGATATTTAATGAAATATGTTTACAGAGGATCTATATCTATTGTGATTTTAGGATGAGATCCATTTAGCTATATAAACTGTATTCTGCAGACAAAATTATTTTACCAGTTCTAGTAACAGTAACTTTACAAGTGATCTTTTGGACAAGTCTGGGAGATTAATAATTAATAGGACTATTGAAGTAAACTTAAAGTTCTGGTTTTACAGTTGACTTAGAAGATTTCTGACTTTATGCTAGAATGATTTTGCCCCTTGAATACTAAAAATAAAACATTAACATAATAAACTATCAGATCTTCTTTAGATCAACAAACTCTGATGAAACATTAACTATGTTAATAATGCAATGATTCAGTCATATTAAGCCAGAGTAGGCATATATAATAGATACTTATTTTAATGGTATGAATATATTGATAATAGACTTTAAACCATTAGCTAAAGAGATTGGATCAAGATAAAACTCCAAATGTGTATTTCTGTGGGGGAAAAATGTGTATGTTCTAGTTCAGTGGTGTTTATTCAGTTGGCATTTGCCAACTATCTTGCAGATATAACCACATTTTTAGTGTATCATAGGGGAAAATGCATTCTGACATTTAGACAGCTTCTAAACACATTTTAGAACCCAGTTCTTTTAGGAAGTAACTTAGACATGGGGGGGGGTATAAGTAACTGGATGCCTCTAATAATTTTTCAAGAATTGAAGATTAACTGACACTTTGAAGTGGAGAATACAGACGAGAAAAATAGCCTCAAGTCCTTAAAAGTTTTATTTAAAAGCATGTGTATTTTATGTCTTTGAATTTGTTAAAATACACGTTTTGAGTACACTTTTGCTGCTGTGGTTTTTAAAGTATTTTTTAATAGTTTTTTATGTTTATCTTTGCAAGAGAGCGTGCACACACACATGCACACACACGCGAGCGGGGGAAGGGCAGAGATAGTGAGAGACACAGAATTTGGAGCCAGGCTCCAGGTTCCAAGCTGTCATCACAAAGCCCAACATGGGGCTCGAACTTGTGAACTGCAGGATCGTGACCTGAGCCAAAGTCGGGACACTTAACCAACTGAGCCACCCAGGCACCCCCTTTTTAAATATTTTTTTAAGTTTATTTATTTAGATGGAGAGCGAGTGAGCAGGGAGGGGCAGAGAGAGAAGGAGAGAGAGAATCTCAAGCAGGCTCCACATTGCCAGCACAGAGCCTGACCATGGGTCTCGAACTCTTGAACCATGAGGTCATGATCTGAAATCAAGAGTCAGATGCCTTGACTGAGCCACTTAAGCACCCCTTGCTGCTATATTTCATGATAACTGATTAGATATTAACCATTTTTTACCCAATCCAGTAGTTTGTCCAAAACACTAGTTAGAATAATTAGTAAAATGCAGATCATTTTTGAAGTATTGTGGTAAATTCTTCAGTTTCAGTACTTTAGCAAAGATGAGCTTTCTGTTTTAGATCACTAGCTCTCTAAGTTACTGCCCCTTAGACTAAGCCTTTACAGCATTCTGAAGAAGAGTGTTAAATGAAATATATTTGCATTCTAGGTCAACATCCCATGGTAATTGCTTTAGTCAAACAAAACAGATATGAGGGTCCTTAGGGGATCATATCTGTCTTCAAATTTAGTTTTTAGCAGGATGCTCTCAAATGATATTTCAGGTTAATCTGTGGTAAGCTTACTGGTTATATCTGTGTATACTTTTGATTTTAGTTGAAGGCGTGGACGGATATTATAAATAGGGCGGAAATTATAAATTGGTGGAAATTAAAGCCTATGCTCTAGAAATAGAGTCTTGGGTTCAGATCCTAGTTCACTTTAATTATCTATGTGACTGTGGTTGAAGTTACTGCTTTTTAAGCCTCACATTTCTCCTCTTGTAAATTGGGCAGGGGGGTGGGGGAGGTGGTATTACTAGCAACAGCAACAACTACTTAATACAGCAAGCATACAAAAGATTGTTGCATAATAATTTTCCATGCAACTTGGAAAAGAGAGGTTGGGTTACTTATAAGGTGCTCATAGCTCTCTTACTACCTTAGGTATATTTCAGAGCTCCTGCCTCCTCCCCCCTTTTTAAGCTTTGGCAAGAATCCTTCAGCCATAGTGTTTAATTATTTTTGTTATTGTGAGGGCTTACTTTTTTTATAGGTAGTTTAAATCCCTCATGCTATTATGAAGGTTGTATTTCTACATAGAGTCTTTAGTCTCTTGGTAGCCAACTCCTCCCTCTTCTCCGGAACAAATTTCTTTCTCTGAAGATTTCATCAAATCTTATTTCTTAACCATGTATCATTTTTTACTACTTTTCTGAACCCACCTATAGCAGATGCTTGAAAGCTCTTGTGCTGATGGGGCCTGTGTAGTTGAGCGCATGTGATTTAGGTTGTGGGGTGGAACCCAGAGGTTTATTGAGTTGAAGGTTACACAGATCTTCTATGCAGAGCTTTTGTTGCTGAGAAACAGCAACTCCTGATTTCTCTTAACTGGCATTTCTCTTGGGAGAATCTTAAGATTCAAAAATCATTATGGAACCTTTTAAGCTTTTCACCAAACGTCTAAAAATGCTTGCTTCCCTTCAGGTAGTGTTGAGATAATGACAAGATCTCGTGGAATTATGTAATTAGCAGTAAATTCTTTATAAGAATAGTCTTTCTGCCATTAAGACAGTGTATTGTGAGGTAGCTTTGTTTTTTGTTGTTTTGCTATTCCTTATATGTAAGGTGGTTTTTTTTCTCATTATTTTTAGTGACAAAACACAAAGGTACTGAGAAAAGAGAGTCCCCTTCACCAGCACCTAAGCCTAGAAAAGTAGAGTTATCTGAATCGGGTAAGTTTTCGTGTGTTTTTTTGTTTGAGCCGAATTATATTTTTTGCACATTTGGTCAGCCCCTCTGGTTAAAGATTAATTATAGAATATGACTTAGTGGTTAAGAGCTATGGTTCTGAAGTCAGACCTACCTGGGTTGAATCCCCAGCTTCACTACTTAACTACTTTTTTTTTTTTAATTTTTTTTTTTTTTTTTACATTTATTTATTTTTTGAGAGATATAGAGAGAAAGAGCACAAGTTGGGGAGGGGCAGAGAGAGAAGGAGACACAGAGTCCGAAGCAGGCTCCAGGCTCTGAGCTGTCAGCACAGAGCCTGACGTGGGGCTTGAACTCACAAACCGTGAGATCATGACCTGAGCTGAAGTCAGAGGCTTAACCCACAGAGCCACCCAGGTGCCCCACTACGTAACTACTTTTTTTGTTTAATTACTTAATTTATTTGAGTCTCATTTCTTAAATCTGAAATGCAGGTAACAGTATCATCCTTTAGGCTTTTGACAATTAACTGAAATAATGCTTATAAAGTTCTTAGTGCTTAACTTGACCTATAGTAAATAAGTTTATTTTTATTATATTTAGTGAACATAGTCTAAAGTCAGCTTTTTATTTATTTTTATTTATTTGTTTGTATTTTTAATGTTTATTTTTGAGAGAGAGAGAGAGTGTGAGTGGGGGAGGGACAGAGATGGGGAGACACAGAATTCGAAGCAGTCTCCAGGCTCTGAGCTGTCAGCACAAAGCCAGACGGGCTCGAACCCACAGGCCATGAGATCATGACCTGAGCCAAAGTTGGATGTTCAACCACCCAGGCACCCTTAAAGTCAGCATTTTAAATTGGGATTTTAAGCTTTTTGTGGTTGTTGTTAAAAAGTGTGTGTGTGTGTGTGTGTGTGGTTGTATTGCTTGACCCAATCGGATAAAAGTGTAAGAGACCATTTTCCATTTCAAGTATGTTACGTGTTCTGTATGTGTAACTAAAGAAACACTTTTCTAAATGCATCCATCTTTCAGAAGAAGAGAAAGGTGGCAAAATGGCTGCAGCAGATTCTGTGCAGCAGAGACGTCAGTACAGACGACAGAACCAGCAGTCTTCATCTGGTATGGACATGGATTCATCTGTTTTCTACCTGTATTTCCTGATGAAAACTACTTAAAATATAAATATCCATCAGTGTAGTGAGTGTACTTAGGAAAAATATGTGCTTACATGGAAATCTCTTTAAGGGGAGGAAGTATTAGTTTTTGGTTTTTAGTTTTCAGTCTTAAAGTTTAATTTTCTTTTAAGTTGTTATGAACATAGTAGACC